TTAGAGTCCTGCGGAAGAAGGAGAACAGGGTAAAAGGGATGGAGGATGTGGGGGGGGGGTGGAAAATGTAACATTAAATTAGGTGGCCAGGACAGTCTCATTGAACAGGTAAGGTCTGAGGACATACCTGAAGGAGGAAAGGGCGTTACCCAGGTAGACACCTGAGATAAAAGCTCTGAGGTCCCCACCTGGTGTGGCTGTAACACTGGGACAGGGAGAGGGCACGAGAGGCCGGACAATATGATCACTAGAGCCTTCTCAGCCATTTTATGGCCTTTGGCTTCTTGGAGAGAACTGGGTTTGAACAGAGGAATGACAACACCCAATTTATATTTCACAGGCTGCTGTACTGAGAACCAGACCAGTGACACAGAAACAAGAGAGGCCTTTCAGGAGGCTTCTGCTGCCATCCAGGTGAAGGCCAGTGATGGCTAAGTCCAAGGAAGTAGCTCAGGGGTGGGTAAGAAGCAATCAGGTTTCTGTATATTTTGAGCATGCAGGACTTCTTAATAGACCACGTGACTCATGTTTTGGGTATAAATAATTGAAAAGATAAAGTTGTCGCTAACTGAGAAGCCTCCAGGTAGAGAAGGTTTAGGGAGCAAGATCCAGAGTTCACTTGTGGAGATGCTGAATGTGAATGGCATCCAAGTGGAGATACTGAGAAGATACTTAGATACGTGATTTTGACGTTCTACCAGCGTAGAAAAGAAACTGGATGTTGCCTGAATGCAGAGAGCACTTAAAGCCAGGAGGCTGGTTGAGATCATCAGGGGAGGGGATATATAGGGCCAAAAAGAAAAAAAAATTCAGGTCTGAGTCCTGGGGCACTGGGATGCTCAAAGATCTGGTCCTTTAGGACCACTGGCATCAGTGGCAGTTTAGTCATGAAGCTGATGAGCTGCAAGCTTCAGAGTCCTTCCAAAGACTCAGTAACATGTTCACACTGATCTATGTTTTGTAACATTTGCCAAAGTTCAGATGTTTCAGTCATATCTCAAGTAAGATGATTGGCCCTTTCCACTGCAACCTCTCTCCCTTACATGGAGATTTCCCTTGTGAAAGAGGTTCCATTTCTTGGAAATTCTAACAGAAGGTTGAATTGGTTTAAGTTTATTAGATCTATTATATGGTTCACAGTCACTTCCATATAAAATTAAGCATTTGCTGCTTGTCATGGTTTAGGAATGGCTTCTAGAAGGAGACCTAACCTCCACGGGGCTAACTCAACTGTGATCATGACACCAAAAGGCAGGGCCAAAGATCATGGTGTTGTACAGCAATCTGCACCAGATACACATGGAGAACCAAAGTTTGAAAGGTATGGGACTAAAGCTTTTCTGGAAAGTTCTTCAAACATCAAATGTGCAACATTGTGACTGGAGGATTTAATTCTCTTGGACACCAACTCAAAACAGCAGTTGTCTCTTATCAAAAATTTTCTAGAAAATGCGAAGTGCATATAGTTATAAATACCTGACATATTTTTTAAAAATTTTTTGATGGGAATTGTGCTAAGTAGAATTTAACTGAACCCCTGTCGTTGTACAAATCTACAGCAATATTACAGACACTGAGTACATCTGTACTAGTTCATACCTAAAAGAAACATGATAGAGATTTTTTCCCAAGTTTGGCAACAATCCTAAATTGATAACAACTTATGAAACTGAAAAAAAAATCTAAACTCCATGAGAAACAAATTTTAGAGGAAAAAAAATACTTGAAGAAAGACTGAATTACCTTGCTATTCTACTTATAGAAAATATTGTACATCATTTCAAACAAAGAGGTGATGGAAAAGTATCCCTCTCCCCCCAAAAAAGGTTAAAAAAGGATTATAAACGTGTGTCCAGAAGTTAATGAATAAATACACACTAAATTATTACGTTATTTTTCTAAAGTTTTGTCTTTTTGATACTTGTTGGTTTTATATGATTATAGTTCATCATAATTTCTTTTCTCATTCTACATAAATGTTCATTTTTGTACTTAATCTTGTGTTTGCAAGTTTTTATTCTTTTTTTAGAAACCCACAAATCATATAATTATCAGGCACCACAAAATCTGAATCCATTCCTGCCTGGTTTCTAGTAAGCACACTACAAACTGGACTTCATTTTCCTCTCAGCTCACCAGCCTCAGAGCCCAGGGTTGAATATTGCTGTTCATCCTCCTTCCAACATGTCCCCTTAGTAGCTCCTGGCCAGCAAGACTGATGGGGAGATGAGGCGGAAACCTACCTGAGGACACAATGATTAGCAAATGGAGTTTAAATGCATGCTTTGAGTTGAAGAACTCCAGGACTCTTCAAAGACAGGGGTATAATCTCTGCCTGAATTACTACGAAGATGCTGTGTTATCATCCATGGCAGAGATTTATCTGGAATTGAGATTGCCTTTAGCTTAATAAACTGTTAAGCTTCATTAGAATTTATCAAGAACTTGAGATAACAGAAGTCATAAGCCCTGGGTTCTGCTCTAGGACTTCCAAGTACTTTGTGGAATTGGTCCTAGGACTTAAACATCTCTGCATCTCAGTCCCTTTTCCCATAAAATAAAGGGGTTGGATTCCACCAGAAGTTCTTAACCTTGGACCCGTGGTCCTCTAACAGCCTTATGAATAAGATTCAGAGAATCCATGACCTCCTGAAAACTATTTGTAGAAATGTGTATGTAGTGCATTTTCCTGGTTGACTCAAATTTTCAGATTCTCTGAAGGTGTATTTTTTTAATAAAAAGAAAAAATATCCCTGAATTAAATGATATATTTGCAAAACCTTAATGTTTGCTGTATTTTTCATATGTTGCAAATATAATGAATAAAACGTAACTCAAAAAAAAAGTAACTCAACACGTGAACAAGTAGTAACTGAAATCATGTAAGAACTCTATAAAATGCTATGTAAACTTTCCCAGAGTTTTACACTTGAGAAACCTTAAAAACAAACAAGCAAACCCTTATTCTCAGTTTTAAGCACCCAAGATGAGCTTGAGAATAACAAAAGTACAAATCACAAAGCACCCTGGACTGTCAGACTCTGGACATAAAACATATGCTCTCCGAGCGCAGTGATAAACTGCCAACTTTTAAGAGTGACTGGACTCTGCAATGGCACACCTAAGAAGCCTTATGAAACCTTCCTCTCTGATACCTGAGGGCTGTTTCAACTCACATGCCTAGAATCATTTTTATAATATTGTATTTTCAACTACAGCCAAGGAGTCTACCAGCTGAGTGGCAGGCGCCACATTAATGAGCAACGCTAACTGATTAACTGCCTTCATTTTTACTGTGGGCTGCTCAGGTTATTTGGAGTTGCTGGGCTCTCTGTCACAGACTAAAACAAATAAAATAAAAATAAAAAGTCAACTAATAAGGAACAAGATAATGATAAAATCAAAAGAAAATACATAAAAAGAGATCATGTCCAATCAGCTATTTGTTCCAAGTGGTTTTTTTTCCTCTCACTTTCTTGACCTCTTGAGATGAGCCTCTCAGTCCCCCACTTTGCCCCCCACTTCCTCTTCAATCTGCCTTCAACAAATGTTTGCCGCATGCTCGCTGCGCATCTGCACTCCAAAGGCGGGGAGTTAAACTTGGAAACAACAGGAGGAGTATTGATTTCGCACAGAGTTACTCCCCCACAGAACAAGGCCAGCCTTACCCAGGGGCAGGCTGGGTGGCCTCCTGCTCCTGCTGGTGTCGCGTCATGTACAAGTCCCCTGGAAACGAGCCCCTGCCCAGAGGCCTCGTGTTCTCTGGCTCTGCCAGGTGCCTGCAATCCTCACATTAGTCACTAATTTTCATTAAGGCGTTGAAAGTCTCCCTCTTACCATGCAAAGGTTACTTGGGAGGGGAAACAAATTAAATCATTAGCAGAGATGAGTTCAACACATTAGCTTCGCCCTGCAGGTATTGAACAAAGGATACACAAGATTGATGGCATGGCCTGGAGAAAAATTCCCGAGATCAATGGAGATACCTCCTTTCAGAGTATGAACTTTTTAATGTCGAAAAGATTCGGACCCTCTCATGACAGTGGTTTGACTTCTAGAACAATGCTAGTCATCAATTACTGGGCACTCAGCACTCGAAGAAGCACTTTACATACATTTTCTCTATTAAACAACCTTGTGATGAAGGTATTTGAATCCCTACCTTACAGACTAAGAAGCTGAGTGTTCAAGGAGTTTAGGCAATTTCCCCAAGGTCACACAGGTCATGACGCATTCATAGCTCTTAGATCACAGAGCTCGGACTCTAAAGCTAGTATGTTTTACTGCTCCCATTGATTCAGAGGAAAAAATACACAATGTCAAACCTGTTCTTCATGCAGAAGTGTTCTCAATGGCTCTGAGTTGTAACGATGACAGCATACTCACACCTCTGGAGAACAGCTGTGTTGGGATGAGTAAGTCTTCGTTCATTCATACCATAACCATCGTTGCTGAGTCTATGGACTGAAGGCCCTCGTACCTCTCAAAGACATCTGGGAATTTAGAACCCACCACATTTGGGGGCTCTCACTCTAGACGACGAGTCATTAACTGGCGGACTGCCTCCTCTACCTTGCCGGTACCAGGAGGTTAGAGTAGCCCGTAGATCTTCAGCAATGAGGTGAGGAGAAGCAATGAAGGGAATCCAAGAGAGTAAAACAACTCCAGAGTCCCTCTGTTTCTCCCCCCGCAAGACTCTCTGACAGGTTCAATGAGGGAACAAAACAACAAAGACTGCTGGAAACTGACTGTCTTAACCGGAAGCTGAGCAGTGTCAGCAGCAGTCAGTTTGGATGGTTTAGATGGAGGAAAGCAGCTGGAAGACTCGAACATGGGATGTGGTGAAGGAGGATGGAATGGAGCAGGAGGAAGAAGGCCACTCACTCAGTTACTAGAAACTGCGTACAAAGCCTACTCTTGGTCTCATATTCAAGGTCTACTAAAGGTCTTATTGCTGCATTGAAGAGAGACAGTCACAAGGAGACTTCTAGAAAGGTAGGTTAACAGAGGAGCATCTAAACTGGTTCCAGCCGATGAACTCGCAGGTGTAGGCAGTGTGTTACATGAGGGGCAAGTTTTTCTTTAACAGCACGAGGGTCTCTAGCCCAATGAGTGGAGTTTGATAGTAGTACTTGCTACAAGTATAAAAAGATTTTTTAATTTAAAATTAAAAAACAATTAAAAATAAAATAAACAGGTTCTATCTCAGCGTAAGCTCAAACACCTCCCATTAAAAGAAAGGGAGAAGAAGAAAGAAGGAACCATACCTACTTGACACTATGATGTCATTAAGTTACTACACTATTTCTTTCCTTCTGTTAACAACCAGTTTCTAAAAGGTGTTTTAAGCTTGCTGCCTTCATTTCACTGTCCTCACCCACTCTTCCATCAGTAAACTGTCTTCCACCATCGCCCCTCCAGTCATACAGCTCACCTAGGAGCACCAGCAACCTCCTCGTTGACACATCTTAAACTTACTGAGAAGTTAACTGCGTGGCTTACCTGATCGACTTGTCTGCAATCTTCTTTTCAGGTTCATCCTCCTGTTTTCATTGGTTAAATGCTTATACTTCTTACATGACACACTCCCTTTATAGGGCTTCACCTTCCTAATGGCACTGTGCTGATGAGTGCAAACTTTCATCATTAGTTTAGACCTTTATGATGAGCTCCAGACTTCTTTGTCCACCTTCATGTGTCCATGTGTCATGGGCATCTCAAGTGAAATGTATTAGTCAGGATTAAGTGCAGCTATAAGTGACTGAGTGTAACAATCAGAGACTTAAATGGAATGAAGGTTTATTTTTCTCTCACCTTGGCAGTCAAGGATAGAAAGGCAGCTCTATAATCATCAGAATCTCCAGATACTTTATCTCACTTAGTCAAAATTCTACAGAGAAACAGAGTAAGATACAGGGGGAAATACATACATACACACACACACACACACACACACACATACACACATTCATTCATATTCATTGTCTCTCTCTATATATCTATATACATATAAACACACACACACACATATATATAGCCATAGATAAATAGATAGAGGTATAAATATATTGAGAAATAGAGACAGAGACAGAGACGCATATTCTATATCCTATAGATTCTGAGCCATCAAAAGGTCATTCCACAACCCTAGCAAACGAGCTGCTTCAAGATGGCAGGGAATATGGTAAGACCAGTGAATTCCATGGGCAAGGTCCATCACTACCCTTTTGCTATGAAGTGAGCAACCTGAACAGAAGCAATGCTGTGTGGAATACCATGAAGGCAGATAGGCCATTCTGTAAACCCACGGATGTGACTTTGAGAGAAGCGCTGTCTGCAGGGAAGACAAATCCATATCCAGAGTAACTGTCTATTCCAGGTCTAACATAAATAACCTGTCCCCAGGTAGCTGGACGATCACCCCGGGGAAGGGTGCCACATGGGAACTCACTGTTGGTCTCTGCTGCTGACAGACGGCACACTCAGCAGTGGCTACAGCCAGGTCCGTCTTGGTAAGTGTAAGTCCATCCTTCTAAGCCCGTGTACAGCCTCCACCTCTACCAGGACGGCCAGTTTGTTCATGAGCCCATTGAGTGATGACAGATGTGCCTGGAGAAAGAGGCTAACTGATCCATATAATAACAAATTGGCCGCCAAGCCTGAAAAAACTATAATCATCATGGTCTCAAGATACTTCATCTCCTCTCTCAACCGTCCTCAATAAGCAGCTTCTATCTCATTGTCTAAGATCACTGTTAGAACTCTAGCCAACATGTCACAGTCCCAAAAGTGGGACTGAGGACATGAGGGAGAGAGAGAACACTGACTGGATGAGGTATCCAATGGTGTGCTTACATCCCACTGGCCAGAACTTAATCACATGGTCACCACCCAGATGCAAGTAACCTAGGAAAAGCCTCCCTAAAACACAGACATTTATTTTTTAAGGGAGAAAATGGATATCTGGGGCCAGCAAGCAGACTCATTATCCTTCAATATTTTTCTATAACAAATTTATCCCCCTCTAAACAACAAAAGCTGTTTTCCCTCTGCCGTGGACTTTCTTGGTAGCAGCATCATTCACCAAACTGTCAGAGTCAGAAACCTCCTCCTACTTTGCGTGGCCAACCTCTGCTGACTCTAGTTTTCAACAGACCGAAAGTCTACCCCTTTCCTGACATTCAAACGCCACTTCCCCAAGTCCTTTCATGACCATGTGTCCCTTTCATAAACTCCTACCTGTTAAATACTCTCCTCTATGTCAGTCCAGCTCCTCTTTCATCCATTTCTCATTCTAATGGCAAAGTCACTTTCTAAGCAAAGCCTGGATCACAGGTACGTCCGATCATTCTCCAGTGGCTTCTCAAACCCCACCCCAATCAAGTGCACAGCCTTCACCTCAGCCTTACTGTTTACTAAGCCCCCCACCCCCATTCTGCCCTCCACAATTTAGTCATCCACCAGAGGTTGCTGGTTCCTCAAATACTCGGGGCACTCTTCCATCTTTTGACCTTCCTATTTGCTGCTCATTATGTTGACTACCTCCCTCCATGCCTACCACTGACGTCCTAACTCCTGCTCATTCTTCAAGGATCAGCTTAGGTGTCATCTTTTTCAAGAAGCCTCTGTAAAGGCCACAGATTATGAAATTTTGTCTTCCTACAGCATCTCTATCACAGGATTTTCCACAACACATTATAATTAATTATTCTCCCCAAGACTGCCCTCCCCAGACTCTAGAGAAGGAACAGAATCATTTGTCTGCATATGTCCAGTTCTTAGTATAGTATCTAGCACATCATCCTTCTGCAACAAATAAATGAGTTCATTAAACAGGATTCTGGATCTCTTGCCTATCACACAGATTTCTTCTCTGTTCAGCACCGGAGAACCCCACAATCCTGTTCCTAGTTTGTCACCCTGATTCATGCCAGCTTGTCCTGACACTGCTGCTCATGAGAATGCTAGACCAGAATGACCTGCCAGTCAATGGCCTCTATTCTGACTCCTATCCTTTACAGGCCTGTCTCCTGCATAGCAGACGCATCCATTCATAGCACTTGTTCACCCTGGAACTACTGGAAAGTACCACATGAAATCCTATGCTCAATCTTTGTTCTCGAAGACTTTACTGAATCTACTAATCTAATAACAATGAAGCATTTAATCACTGAAAAGCAAATACTTGTTGAGCATTAATTAACTCAAAAATATTTACTGTGGCCCTCCTTTGTGCTAAATACTGTGTTCAATGCTGAAGATGCAATGATGAGAAAAAACAGTTCCTCCTCTAATGGAGCTTCTAGCTTAGTCAGGAGAATGGCATTAATGAAATAACTGCATAAATTAAAGTTTAACTGCTAATATAAAGAAGCACCTTCAATGAAATGAAGGTAATTCACTGATTGCTAGTATTAAATAACTGTACTTAGGTGGAGAGGTGAGGGAGGTCACTGATTGCTAGTATTAAATAACTGTACTTAGGTGGAGAGGTGAGGGAGGTTGGTGGGAGAGGTCATGGGGAGAGTCAAAACATCTGAAGGATGAATAAACATGGACTAGGTGGGAGAAGGGGAGATAACGACAGGAGCAAGGAGAGAGGGAGCGCACTGAGATGGGGGGGATGGCATGCACAAAGGCCCCGTGGTAGAAGGGCCTTTCCCAGTACCTTCAAGAGGAGGTTCATGTAACTGGAGTACATGTGTGATGAGAACAGAGAAGTGACAGCTGGTGGTCCTGGTGGAGCCACAACAAGCATATGGGTCTTCAAAACAGTGGTAAAACTGAGGTACTATGGTGAGATGGGGAATGAAGGGGAAATTATGTCCTTGTAGGTGGAAGATGAGTCCAGGGGAGAATATATAGGGCATGATCTGTAACTTCAGTGAGCTTACAATTAAGAATTAGATCTCTTGACACATGTACAATTAGGTATCAAGTAATGGCTGAACAATTTGCTAATGATTCAAGGAGCCACAGGACATCAGAGACGGGCTGAGTCTTTCACCAATTCCCCTGAAGTTTGTAGCCTGGCAAGCACCAGAGTGGATAAGCCTTCTAATAAGAAAATGCACTTTATTTTACTGTATGTTCATCTGCCCAGGGGATCTTTCATGGGTATTTTTCTTGAATTAAAAATAATTGAAAGAGTTGTAAATGGGGACTGGGGGATTCTCAGAAAGGAATTATAAAACAGAGTCTGTCCCACACTGCAAAGCCCAAACAGGATTTTTTCCAGAAAGATTACATTTAATTAGTTCCCAATTTGCTTCTAGTAACAGAAGGGATTTAACAGTTTATGGTAATAATATGCAAAAGGTTGAAATGCTCTTGAAGCATATGCTGAAATCTGCCACTGAACAGAGTGTGAGCAGCTACTGGCATTACTGTTGCACAAGGGGAGTGTGAGAAGTGTGCCCTTCTCTCCCAAAGTCACTAAGGGGGCAGTGGCAGTGACCTTTAGGGGTCTCTGCCTAGGCAAGGGGGTATGACTGTTCACAGTCAGGCTGCACTGTCCTCGGTGGACATATACTAAAGTCCTGGCCAAGCTCTGCAAATGAGAATACAATTCTTAATGCAGAAGTAATTGTAATAATAATAACTAATTCTTAATGAATGCTTATTACATAATGGGATCTGTTCTACATAGTTTATATGTATTAACATATTTAATTATTAAGAAAACTGTACCAAGTAGGTACTATTAGCTTTGTTTTGTAAATGAGGAATGAGACACAGAGGAGTTAAGCCACTTCCCAAGGCCTCATAATTAGGTAACAGAGGAGCTGGGATTAGAACCCAGGTGATCAGCTCTGAAGTCCACATTCATAATAAACACACTACAGCGCTCTCACTCATGGACCTACTTCAAGTGGCTGATACAAGAACACACTGTGCTTACGTGGAAGGAGCCGGGAACAGTGCCTGGCCCCTAACAGTGCCCACATTTGCTTTTAACAGTTTTTCTCCAGCTTACTTTAGTCTGCTCCCCTGCTTCTGGTCATCTCTTGTTTTCTTCTACTCTGACTTCCTCTCGGTTCGAATGACTCCCAGGAACTACAACATGATCATTTAATGTTTGTTAACGAGCTGCTTTTTATCCATTTCTTCCAGGTGACTGTTAGGGCAAGGAGGAGGAGGAGC